CACACACACACACACACACCAAATGTAATGTTTGTCATGTCATTGAAACCGGACGTGACGAGCAAAGGTTGGATCTAAACTGCACATCCAGCAATTTTCAACTGCGACTTTCTTGAAGCTGTTGTGTTATAGCACAGTAATTTGTCATGGGCATAATACAGCCCCTTAAATTTAGTGTTAAAATAACACTCATTATCCACTGATGGCTTCTTGAGAATGTGAGATAGTGAGTTAGACACCAGTAGCTGTACTGGGCTGCCATCCCTCCACCCCCGTACTTGCTTAGCAGAGAGTGTGTGAGTACGTGGGCAGACGAGGCTGTTACGGACAACTGTTCCTCCTCAGCTGGTCCTGTATACACACCTGTTCATCGCCACATTTCATTTAGATTTGTGTGTTTGTGTGAGTCTTACTGTCAGTCAACAAGTGAAAGTGCATCAACAGTCTTTCTTCTTTAAAGGCCAGAAGCACACAGGCGCTACATGATGCGTCACCGAAGACCGACACAGTGAAATCTTGTTCTGCACATCTACACTTGATGAATACCACAAGGGCACTTTCTTTTTCCCCTCTTTTATTCCTTCTCCTCTCTATTTCTTCCTTCCTTTATAACCTTTGACCTTTTTATTTCTCAACCTGTTTTCACGCTGTACTAGCTTGGCATTAGCTTCCTCATTTTTAGCAGTCACATCAGCAGTAACATGTCATCTTCTCGGGAAGACTGAAAGTCTTTTTTAGCTCGTTAGACTGCTCACACTGCATGTTCAGATTGAGCCTAGCAAGGCTAACTCAGTACCCAGAGGATGGCCTACATTTATGCAGCCAGCAGATGATGTGATTGTTACATAATAGCGCAGTGTGCTGATCCTGTTTTATGGGCTAAATATTTGGATTCAGAGTTTACCCAGGTCAAGTCGTTGTTTGTCTTATGTGGCCACATCCTGGCATCCTTGTGGTTCAAATTCGGATTTAAATCAGTCTAGTGCTTTTTAAGGGGTGGGATTGGGGGGGGTTACAGAGTGTCTTTATTCTTTTACTCTTGCATTCCCAGAAAGTTGATTCTGTTCATCCAGAATCAACTTTCTGGGATTTCCTTACCTGCATCAAGGTGCTTTGAGTGTTTATTTGTTTCCAGTGAACAGAGATTTTCAGTAACATAATGTTGCAACTGTACAAGATACAGTCATGAAACTTTGCCCGTCTATGGTTGACATCAAAATGAAGGCTGGTTTTGAACAAGGGTGTGGTCAGTTTTGAGCATTAAATAAAGGCTTCCTGGAAGTGGGGAGGACAAGGGCTCCTTCCCATTTTATTTTGTACAATCCCGACATGCAGACAAACACCTGTGAGCAAACACTTGGCAACAGTGAAAAGGGAAAACTCTCTTTTAACAGGAAGAAACCTCCAGCAGAACCAGGCTCAGGGTGGGGCAGCCATCTGCTGCGATTGGTTGGAGGTGAGAGGAGGTAGATGAGACAAAAGACACACTGTGGAAGCGAGCCAGAGATTAATAATAATGAATGACTAAATGCAGAGAGGTGTATAAAAACGGAGAGCATGAAAAGAGGTAAATGAAGACAAAACACTCAGTGCATTATGGGAAACCCCCACAGCAGCCTAGGCCTATTTAAAAGTTACTAAGAGAGGATTTAGGGTCACCTCATCCAGCTCTAACTTTATGCTTTATCAGAAAGGAAAGCTTAAGGCTCTGTCTCCCATTCTACTTTTAAATATCCTAGGCACCACAATTGAGCCAGTAGTCTGATGGCAAAATGCTCTAATGGGGTGCTATGAGGTCTTTAACACAAACTGGGGCCTGATTATTCAAGACCTTGTAATCTGTTATGTGGTATAAAAACAGATTTCCAAGACAAATGTAACCTGAAAATATTTCTTATGTGAATCAGTTGCAAACTGGTCATTAGTTGCGTTTATTAATAAAACTATGTTTGGAAGAGGCAAAGTAGGAGGAGTGTATGAAACTATCGAGTCCGCCTGTATGCGCCGAGTTTCTAACAGCTGTCTGCAGATATCAGGCTGATGTCAGGAGACACAAACAGCAGGAGCTGAGCTTGTGTGCTGACTTTCCTGTTCGGCCTCTGCTCAAAGTGATAATTAAAGTGGATTTTAATGCTCTGCTCTATTGAAGCCTCTTGTTCTGACTGCCCACAGCTGTGTGGGACTACTAGAATGTGTAAAATGATGACAGCTTTGCAGGTGGTGCAGATCTTAATGCTCTGCTGCCATGCATGTGACATCTTTAAATAATACAGCATTTCAATTACACATTATTGGTGGAGTTTTAAGTTGTTGGCTCCTTTTAATAATCGGGGAAAAGTAATTTTTGCTGTTCTTGTGATCAATAATAATGATCATTGTTGATCATTAACGTGGTCAGTTTTTTATCAGGGAAACGGTCTATCCTACTTTAGATGTTCATGCTTCAAACAGCCATCCAGACTCCTAGCTTTGTCAGGAAAAAAAACAGAGATGACTGTTCCTGCCTCTTCCAAAGGTGCTGGAGACCCGGTTTTCAATATAACACCACCCACACATCCTCCTCCTTAATGCTGTAGGTTTGTAAACTGAGATAAATTGAAGCTGCACCCTTGAAAGTTAGAGCCTTAAATAGCTGCTTTCTTTTTTACAGAAAGTCTGCTGGAATATTTACTGTAACACAAAGGAAAAGATATTAGAGAAAATGATGAAAAATGGTGAGAAAAAAAGCAGCAAAGCAGGCCGTTACTACTTTTCTTTTTTTTTCAGATAAATTGCAAAATGTGTGGCTGTTTAGCGCCTTCAG